AAAAAATTCTATTTAAAGACTAAAAACTAACCAGTCACTTCATGTTTTTAGCAAACACACTTACCATTGTATGGGGTTTTATTGTCCCCCCCGGTGAATAGAAGTCTTCAAAAATGTATACGCCTAGAACTGAATACCGTGTCAAATCTATTGGCACTACATGTTTAAACACCTGCATCTCATCATCAGCCCTTCATAATATTGTTAAACAATAATTATACTTATGATGAGTAATGAATCCAAATATATTCTTCCTTGAGATGTACTCATTCTTGCATTATAAGTAATCCATTAATAGAATATGAACACACTCAGGTAAAATAGAATTGAGAAATACATCTATATAACACTCACCAAAGCTTTTAAGTGGTAATCATAAGCTGAAATGTTGTCATCTTCATTAGAGAATTCTTATTTTTCTGAGGATGATTGATCTCATTTTTGTTTTCCAGGTTCTAAATTTCACCTATCTTCCTAATCATATTTAAATCTTTAAAAAAATAGTTTTAGTTTCAATTTTGAACACGTTTTTGTTATTTGACATTTTACTGTCACTGCCACTGTCACTGTCCTCCCGTTGTTCATCAATTTGCTTGAGCAGGCCCCGTAATACCTCCATTGTGACACTTCTTACTGTGTTTGGCATATCGAATACACCACGGGTAGCTTGCTGGGCTTTCCTGTGGGGGCGGGATACTCTCAGTAGTTTGCCAGGCTCTCCAAGAGGGGCAGAGGAATTGAACTCCGGTCGGCCAGGTCGGCCATGTGCAAGGCAAACCCTACCCGCTGTGCTATCACTCCAACCCTATCATAATAAAATTTTACTATTATAATATTTTACTATCATAATAAAAATAAAAACTTGAGGTAAAGACTAAACTTGACTTTGTTAAAAGCCAACATTTCATTGAAGGATTCAGAGAGAATCACAAAGGAAATCATTCACCTACTTCCCAAACCAGAAGCTACAGCTTGCTAATCACTATTCTTAATTTTGCATTCAGACAACCCAGATTTGACCCCCAACACTGCATTTCCCTCAACAACAACAACAACAACAACAACAACATACAGAAGAAAAGTTAGTAAAACCTGACACACGTGGCAGACTTTCCAATGTATGCCAGGCAGAGCTGTAGGTATATTATACTGAATTCACTTGACAGAGCAAACTTACATGATCAGTGATTTTTAAAAAAAAAATTTTTTTATGTAGGAGTATTGCTATTTATTCAGTCATTGATTAGGCCAATTGAACTGGGCATGAAATCCACCTTACTTTTTTTTTATATATAAATTTATTTGTTGAATCACCATGAGAGCAGTTACAAAGCTTTCAGGTTTAAGTCTCAGTCATACAATGATAAAACGCCTGTCCCTTCACCAGTGCCCATTTTCTACCACCAAAACCCCACTACCCTCCATCCCCTTCCCTCCCCCTGCCTGTGGGGCAGCTGATTTCCACATTATTCTCTCTCTCTACTTTGATTACATTCAATATTTCGACACCAGACCCACCATTATTATTTGGAATTTTACCCCAACACTCAGATCTGCCAAAAAGGTAACCATAGCAATTTGTTTTCTATTGCTGATTATGAATAATATATGGTGTAACACAGCTGAAGTAGTGGCTGCACGATTTTCGAATTCTGAAATTTTAACAATTAAATCTGGAGGGATTTCTACCAAAACCTGCTGTGTTCTGAGATTTGTTCCTGTGTCTCTGGGATCATGGCCATTAAGCAGCTTGATCAGGAGACAGAGAGGCCATTCGTGGGCAGCAACGTGGAATATTTCATTGGGGAGGGGAGGAAAGGGCCAGATCCACGCCCATCCCTTGAGGACCTGCATGTCTCATCACTGCAGGCCCAAACCTGACTGTCCAGTGGCCTCTAGAAGATGGCAGCCACTGAGCCGCCAAGGGGGAGCAGGTGGAGGGACAGCACCCTTTCTCCCCAGGGGTGGCCCGGCACTGGTAACCTACTGCAGGGACCAGATACATTTCTGCCAAAAGCTGCTGCGTTCTGAGATTTGTTTCTGAGTCTCTGGAATCATGGCCATTAAGCAGTTTGATCAGGAACTAGAGAGGCCTTGCCTCCAATTATATAGCAGAGCCGGAGGTGGTTTGTGGGTGTGTCTCCCACATAACTAACTTTTGGCCGTTTACTTTCCTGGTAAACTTGGCCCCAAGTTTTTGGGGTCTGGCCAAAGGCACAGCAGCAATTTTGGGGTATCTGAAAATCTGAAAGTGCCATCAGCCTGCTGATGCACTTGCCTCACAGGTACAGATTGACCTGCTGGCGGCACCATACTCCAACATGGTCAATGCTTTTATTATACCATTTTCCAGATGAACACGCTGAGGCCTAGAGAGATTGAGACAAGGTTACAGAGCAGAAAGCAATAAAGTCAAGATGTGAACACAGGTCACCAGATCCCATGGTTAGTCTGCAGTTAGTGTACCACATACTCAGGCCATCATCATTAGAAACAATTTCCCAATAACCCAGAATATAGTTGAGAGCTAAACAGCAATCCTATCTCTACTTTAGAATTGAACTAGCCTTTACGTCTGGCACAAGTCCTTTTTGTTACGTCCCAGGTTGATGGCTCTGTATTATTGATCCAGGAATAATTCTTCCTTTCTTTGATGCCTAAGCCCCAAAATTACTCAAGTCAGTATCACATCCACCATAAGGAAAAGGAGGATGCTGAAGCTCTGGCTCATTGGATGTAGTCCTGGGATTTTAAGAAAAAGATTTTAGTCTTCCTAGAATAATTATTAATGTGAATCTTTGATACTAAGATGTACCGTGTATTACAGAAGAACATTAACATGATCCCAGAGATAACAAGCTATCCTGCAGTATGTGGGATGGCTATAACAGCCACAGAGCTGTCTGATGTCACACTCCCTGTCTCCAGCTGTTTTTGCAACTGCCATCATGGAAGTGACCCAACTTTGAAGTGGGTTGAACACCCAGGAGTATAAACTCACTTGCCAAATAATAGACATGAAGGTGTCCTAAGAATCAGGCCAGATGGAGGGTGTCCAGAGTACAGGTCACAATTCTGCAGATGGCCTCCATCTTCTGGAGGTCAATTCACACCTGCCATTGCTTCTTCCACCTTCAAGAGGACAGCCCAAGTCAGATCTCACCTTTCACAGTCTCCAGCGGTTTCTCATTTCAGGGTATAAATCCCTAAATACACAGAATCTGGGACTTCCATAAAAGTTATATGACTGAATGGCATATTTCGAGAGTGAAAGAAAAACCAATTTCTACGAATGAGTTATAAATTATGGGTACACAAAGTCTGTCTCTAGACTTTCATGTGCCCGAAATGCATCATGCACTTAAAAGGAGAACACTTTCTCTTGATTTCTTCTACATACCTCCTGTGGATGAAGGTCTCCCAGAAATCCAACAGAAATAAAAGTATAAGGTCACTCTGTAAATGAGCAGAATATTTCCTCTGGCAGAGAGCATATAGTAGTTTTTAATAAAATACAGTAGGGCTTTTGAGCTTTGTGAAATCCTGCAGCATTCTCCTCTCCTCTCTTCTCTCCTCTGCCTGCCTCCTTTGAGCAAGACCATAATACAATGAAACGGTAAAGGCAGCAATTGATATCTTTGATTGGGAACCAAGAAGATTCTGGGAGGAGTAGTATATGCCAAGTTAAGCGGATGTGGGCTGTGCTCTCTGAATCTGCCTCCAAAAGGAAGATAGAACTGTTCTATTAAGAGACTCTGTCTAGAAACCTGACCTATGGCAGTGGGAAAGCTTCACTTACCCAAACTGAGCTCAGAGAGGATGTGTATGTCTTCCACTTCCACACAGAAACTCCACACACCTGAACTGAACAGTGGCTAACCAGTGGAGTGGATGTGTTGGAGGGTGGAGGGATAATGGACAGTTGAGAAGATCGGTAAAGATTTCCTTTAGTGTCTGTACTTGGGAGAGGAGAGTGAGATCTAGTCATAAATAAAATTTTATATGGATGTCAGTTCCACCATGACCATTCTCCATCCTAAAATGGTTCTCAGGATGAGACAGAAGCTCAGAAGAAAGAAAGGGAATGTAGCTTACATATATAAATAAAGATCAAGTGCCAGGTGAATTGCCACATTACAATCTCTCTCCCACATATCTGGCTTTTATTTGTAGAGTTGTAGAAGTGCTTTATGTAATTTGGGTAGTAATACCTCCAGATATATGATTGGCAAAAATATATTCCATTTCTGTAGGTCATTTTTTTTACTCTTTTTATTTTTTGCTTTTTGGGTCACACCCGGTGATGCTTAGGGGTTACTCCTGGCACTGCATTCAGGAATTACTCCTGGCGGTGCTTAGGGGATCATATGGGATGCCAGGGATTGAACTTGGATTAGCCGAGTGCAAGGCAACTGCCCTACTCGCTGTATTATCTCTCTGATCCTCTTTTTTTACTCTTAACTGTTCAAAAGTATTCAATTTTGATGAAATATGTGTGTATTATGCTTTAGTGACACTAAGAAATTATTGTTAAATCTATGGCAATGGTTGATGATATCTCCTTATATTTTGTTCTAAGAGTCTCATAACTGTAACACTTAAATTTACAATTAGATCCTTTTTTAAAATTGAATCACCAGGAGATACACAGTCACAAAATTATTCATGACTGGGTTCCAGTCATACAATTTTCCATCACCCAGTACAGCATCACCAGTGTACATTTCATACCATCATCTAACTCTGACAACTCAGGTCTTTTAAAGGCATGATCTCTGATATTTATCCACTGTTCTAAGCCTAATTCAGTCTCAAAAAAGCAACCCTTTCCAGATCTTCTCTAATATTCTAGACCAAGAAAATTTCTGAAGATCAGCTGAGTCCTCTGAGACTCCCCTAACTGTGAAGCTATGACCTTTGTATCATCATTTCTGTAGGACACTGAGTTGCCAGCTATCCTATGCTTCAATTATTACTAGTTTCTTAAACAGATCTTTCTCATGCTCACTTTGGCAGCACATATACTAAAATTGAAATGATAGAAAATTAGCACGGTTTCTGTGTAAGGATAACACACAAGTTCATGAGGTGTTGAACACCATATTTTTATGACTGGAGAAAGAAGTTGTAGCTCTAAGAAATAGAAGAATCATGTGATTTGCAGCAACATGGATAGAACTATAGGATATCATGCTATGTGAAGTCAGTCAGAAGGAAAGGGATATATACAGAATGATCTGTCTTATATGTGGGACTTAAATAAACAAAGCAAGACAGCAACAGAGATCAAAAGACAACATAATAGGGGAACTAACAGACACAATTGAGTTGGGGGGGTGTGAGATGGAGGATGGGTTAGAGGAAGGGGAGGAGGATGGATACACTAGTAATGGTCATAGTGTCAGAATTATATCGTGAGAAATCACTAATAATAGTATTCTAAGCAAAAAGATATTTTTTAAATAATAAATGCATAGAGAAAAACAATGATATCTTCGTAATAGGTATTAGAAAAAATAGACATTTCTAAAATCTTGCAGACCCCTTATTTCAATGTCTACAGAAGCATTTAGTTGGACATGAAATGTGTTTGAGAGGATCTTGATCACAGTAAGAGTTTATCTCAGCTAAAAATAGAGACAAAGTGTTCCCTCCCATGTCTTACTGAGATGAAGAGTCTCCTCTTCTCAAATGACTCATTCATAAAGATCTGAAAATGGCCTCCTGTTCAAGTATAACAGTTTCACCTCCTGATACAATGATTTTTTTATAGACCACAAGTAGCATGACTTACCCGACATCTACCTATTTTCTTCAGATTACCCATAGCTTGGTTGCCTCCTGATTCATTCTCTCAAAGGCCCATTTTGATACTCATTGCAGAGAGGGTGCAGCTTAGGTTACCTACATGTTTCTGACAAACTTTCCTATATCTTTTCCTCATGCTAGACCACAGAAACTTCTGCAGAAGTTTTAAATGACATTAGTTCAAAATACATGTTTAATACATGACCAATAATTTTACTGTGTTCACTTTGAGTCCTAATGCCAAACCCATGTAATTGAAAATTCAAGTATAAGTTTTGACTCCTGAAAAATTTATAGTAATAGCTGAATTGAAACTGGAAACACAAAATTACATAAACAGTTGACACATATTTTGAATATACATGTATTATAAACTAAATTTACAGTAAATAATGTAGGGAAAAAAAACTTTACTAAAAAAAACTATAAATAAATAGTGTTAAACCCTGAACAGCACAGAGATCGGTGCAGTCAAAAATCTAAAACTGGGTCTGTTCAGTTCAATGATATACCATTGACTCATTGAACTATGGAACCTCTTTTCAGCACGCAATATATTTACTTCCAAAAATACTATCAATTGTTTCCCAACTAGGTTGTTAGCAGAGAAGCTTCTAGGAGACACAAAAGGGAAGTAATAATTACAAGATGAGTTTGTGTGCAGTTCACTGGAAGGTACAGGTTGTCAGTATATAAGTGACTGACTCCAGAAGATGACAGAGTGGTTCTAACCCAGTATGGAGTCATGAACTGAGAAACAAGACTGGCAGAAGCTGTGGAACAGATGTAGAATCTTCTGGAGCGTGGTAAGGTCATTCTAAGAATAGCACCTAAGCGCAACCAGAGAAAGGTAGGAACAGAGCTCAACAGATTTTCTCCTACACTTATGAAGTAAATGAACCCTGCTCACCCATTCGTTTATTCAACAAATACCATGAGAGCATCTACCATGCACCCGGTATCATGGTGGGAACTGTAAGCACAACCAAAAGTAAGACAGTCTACGTTCTGCCTTTATAGAGCTGACATCCTTGAGTCTGGCAAGGATTAAATCAATTTGTTGAATAAACCAAATGAAGAAAATGGATGATCAAACACTTTGCATAATGTCTTTATTTGCCATGTCACAAGTAAAAAGAATAATGACCCCAAGCTGTACACAATATTTGGAATTTAGTTAGAAGGCATACTTAATGCAGATGGAGGTACGCATAAAATGTTTATATCCATTATTCTATCAAAATGATCCTTACGTAAAATTTATTGACATATTAATAATAGTATGAAGTAAACACAATTCACCTTGAAAAATAGCATTAATTTCAACATGACCTAATTTGTTTTTTGAATTTTGTAGGGTATATATCTTATTATGCACTTAAGACACATAAACATGTTATAAAATAATCTAAAATTCTCTAAAGCACAGAATAGTACCTAGATGTAAGTAGATCACTCATTCTACTTATTTTTTCAGTGCTAGGAACTTGCAGTTAAAATGAGTACACCATTGTCATATATCCTGAGAAAAAGAATTCTTGGAATTCATTTACATCAAGGAAATCCAACAATGTATGTCCTGCCCAATCAGGTTCTGAGATTAGTGGCCAAAGATCTAAAAAAAATGGAAAGAAACCAGGTATATTTGGGAGGCAGAGGAGTCTGTGTCAATGGGGCCAATATGGAAGTATGACCTGAGAGCCAGAGAAGCAAGATCCAAGAGTCCCGAGTATTCAAAGATGAATGGAGTTTTATTGTGAGTGAAATCAAAGCAAGCCTGAGGTTGTAAATGGAAGAACTATATAGCCTGTTTATATCTGTTAGAAACCCAACTAAGATCTTCATTCTGTCTTTGACCTAGAGTATATCTTTTTTTTTTTTTTGCTTTTTTGGGTCACACCTGGCGATTCACAGGGGTTACTCCTGGCTCATGCTCTCAGGAATTACTCCTGGAGGTGCTTGGGGGACCATATGGGATGCTGGGAATCAAACCCGGGTTGGCCGCATGCAAGGCAAATACCCAACCCTCTGTGCTATTGCTCCAGCCCTTAGAGTATATCTTTACCATTGTCTGACAATTAGATGAGTTTCTCTGATGACTCTAGCCAGGAGGGGAAAGCAAGGTAATAAGTTTAGCAGTTTGTTCTGTTGTCCAACTTCTTGGATTTTACGTGGCTGCATACACAGCATGCAAGTCTCAATGACTCCCTGTTCTTCTAGGGACAAATCAAAGGGGAGGTGGCCAGCAGTCCACTGGGGGAAGCATCTTCATCCTAGCCCCTTCCCAGAGTGGCTCCAGTTGGAGCAGGGACCACTGGCACTTTTCAAAGCTTGTCCCACTCACATGCTCTCTTTGCAGGCATTTTCTTTGCGGATTTTCAAATTGGTGATTGCCCACTTTTATAGAAAGAGTGAAAAGTAACAAAGCCAGGCTTAGATTTTTCTTAAACTATCACCTCTAAGCCACAATTTTAAAAATCCACTCTCCACGAGTGATCACAGATTTTAAAATCCACTGATCATTGTGAGTGACCAGTGCCTGTGAAAATGCATGAAGCTTTTTCACAAAGTACTAAAGTTGGAAATCTCCTCTGCTTTAAGAAAACACTTTAAATAAAAAATAATAGAAGTTAAGGACCAGGTGAGTGGACTTTTCAGTCTTAACACTTTGACTCTATGCTCGAGCGATAGCACAGCGGTACGGCGTTTGCCTTGCACGCAGCCAACATGGCCGACTCTAGTTCAATTCCTCCACCCCTCTCGGAGAGCCCGGCAAGCTACCGAGAGTATCTCGCCTGCACGGCAGAGCCTGGCAAGCTCCCTGTGACGTACTCAATATGCCAAACACAGTAACAACAAGTCTCATGATGGAGACGTTACTGGGCCCGCTTGAGCAAATCGATGAACAACGGGAGAACCGTGATACTCTCTCTCTTAACTCTATGCATCTTTTTTAAAAAAAATTACAGGGGATGGGATCACTGTATCACTGTATCACTGTCATCCCGTTATTCACCAATTTGCTTGAGCGAGTAGCAATAACGTCTGTATTCATCCTAGCCCTGAGATTTAGCAGCCTCTCCTTATTTTTCCTTCCCAACGGTGCCACATTGGAGGCTCTTTCAGGGTCAGGAGAATGAGACACATCATTGTTACTGTTTTTGGCATATTGAATATGGCATGGGAGCTTGTCAGCCTCTGCCATGCGCGCAGGATACTCTTGGTAGCTTGCCAGTTTCTCCAATGAGATCTAGACTATAAGAGACCACGCAGTCTCATATGCGGCCTTGCGTTTCTGGGAGCTTTGTTTTATAGTCTCTGGATCTTGGCCATTGATGGGATTTCATGGCACCAGGGCCAGTGTGTGGGTGTAACTGCCTAGCTACTGGAATATGGGGGATCTGGGTGGAGGAGGCCCAGTCCCGATCCGAGCAGGCTTGGAGATCTAAGCCCCAGGACCCGTGCACCTGGGTTCCTCTGCCGATTTTTTCATGCATGAGGCTCTTCTGAGTGAGTTAAAGGGGTTGAGATGACCTTTAAAAATGTGTATCTGCAAAAGTCAGATCAAAGTGAATTAAAGACCTCTACATCAGACATGAATCCATAAGGTACATAGAGAAAAATGTAGGCAGAACTCTCCACAAAGCATCTTTAAGAATGAAACAGCATTGAGCATGCAAGTGGAAGCAAACATAAACAAATGGGACTACATCAAACTAAGAAGCTTCTGCACTTCAAAGAAAACAGTGACCAAAGTACAGAAAGAGCCCATGAATGGGAAAGAATATTTACCCAATACCCATCTGATACAGGACTAATATCCAGGCTATACAAGACACTAATAGAATTGTACAAGAGGAAAAACCTCCAAACCCATCAAAAGATGGGGAGAAGAAATGAAGGTTCCTCAAAAAAGAAATACAAATGGCCAAAAGGCACATGAAAAAATGCTCCACATCGCTAGTCATCAGGGAGTTGCAAATAAAAACAGCAATGAGATATGATATCACCTCACACCACAGAGACTGGCACACATTCAAAAGAACAAAAGCAACTAGCGCTGGCATGGATGTGGGGGGAAAGGGGATGCTCTTTCACTATTGGTGGGAATGCCCACTAGTCCAGCCTTTCTGAAAAACAATATGAACAGTCCTTCAAAAACTAGAAATTGAGCTTCCATATGACCCCGCAACACCACTTCTGGGAATATATCCCAAGGATGCAAAAAAGCACAGTAGAAATGACATCTGTACCTATATGTTCATTGCAGGACTTTTCACAATAGTCAAAATCTGGAAAC